CTGGAGATGTTGGCATTAAAGGGTGTACCCTTAGGCCCAACTTTCTAGGCAGTGGAAGGGAACTTACAAGAGGCCGTAGCATTGTTAAGAGCATGCAAGGACTCTGAAGCCAGACTGCCTGGCCTTGAAAACCTCAGTTTAGTTGTGTGTGCAGTCTAGGCAAATGATTTACCTTCTAAGGTACCTTCTCTGTGGCTTAGTTTCTCTCTCTGTAAAATAAGGGTAATATTATATTCATATATCATATATGTAATATATTTATACTATATATATTTTTAAATAGAGTTTTAAGCATCAAATGAGCTTATCCATGGGAAGCTGTTAGCACAGGGTCTGGCACATGACATATGAGAGAGAGAGAGAGAGAGAGAGAGAGAGAGATATGCGCTAGGTATTTTTATATATACATTGTTTCATTTAATTCTTATAACAATCTTTGGAGAGGAGGAAACTGAGTTACTTGCCAAAGGCCAATACAGCAAGTAAGTATCAGCAGGAGAGCCAGGATTTGCTAGATCTGACTGACTCCACTGTATTCCTTCTGAAAGAGGAGAGCTGGCCTCAAGAGGCACCGTCTGTTTACGAGCCCCTTCTCACTGTTTGGGGCCAGGGAAGAAGCCCAGAGGACAGTTTTCCCTGGAACCTCTTATCGATTTTGTTTTGTTGGCTCCATCTCCCACCTTGGTAGGTGCTTCCCAGGGTTACTTGGTCCCCTTCAAATATAGCAGCAATATTGCTAGATTGTTTGAGAGACTTTTGCCGCAGGGGTTCTCCTCTTGTGTCTTTCCTTAAAGGTAGGGAGTCATTTTTGGTCACATGAGGATAAAGAGAACAGAGTAGAGGTGAATTTTGTTTTATCTGGAAGCCATTAAGGCTTTTTCGGTTTTAACTGAAACCCAACTCACACTGGCCTGAGCCACAAAGGAATTTATTGGTCTATGTAACTGAAAAGTTTGGACTGGTGGGAGGCTTCAGGCTAGGTAGATCCAGGTCTTCAAATAATGTGAACAGGTCTTCCTTCCTCCCCCCCCATCTCTTGACTTTAATCTGTGTTGGCTTCATTCTGAAGCAGGTTTCCACCACGAGGTAGAAGAGGTTGCAACTAGTAGTATCACATGTATGATCTGAGCAACCCCAACCAAGAACGTATCTTCCCTTATAGTTCCAACAAAAGTCCAGGGAGGACTTTCCTTGGCTAGGCCTTACCCCATGTCCACTTCTAGAACCAAAAAAGACCGTAATTCTTCAAGAGTGACCCAGGATGCTGCTAGTAGAAGGTGGGAATGGATATTTGGCAGGCAGATCCGCCAGCGTCCATCACAGCAGATGCTGCCGCAGTGAGCTGCCTTGGAACAGTCAGTGCCGGTGCCTCGTCCAGGTCTTACTCTCTCACTGCAGCCAAGCACCTGGGATAGAAGGCAGCTGGGTACCTGTGGCCCTTTGATGGAAGAAGGCCATCCGTTCCTGTCCAGTTACCCTCGAGACCACACACACAGCATCCTTCTCCCATCCAGAACACACAGGAACCCTTCCTTTAGGGTGATTTTTTTTTTAACAGTGAAATCTTAAAGATGACTGTTTCCCTAAAGCCCGGAATGTTTACTGAAGACTGTCAGAACCATCCTCCGTCACTACATCCTCTCCATCAGTGATGTTCTATAAGCAGTAGGGTGGCTTGAAAGTGTAAACCAGAGAGGTCCAAGGGAGAGATGGTTAGCGAACTTCTGGTCTTTTCCTAGTCTGTATCCCTCTGTTCTAAGGACCCCAAGCCACAGGTTTTGTTTGTTCTGTGCAGTAGTAGTTCACTGTTGCTATTTTAATGTGAGTTAGTTTCCCACATTTAAAAATGGGATTTTATTTAAAAATCTAGATTTCCAGCTCCTCTTTAAAAGAAAAAATTCTAAGACCTAGCAATCCTGGGACCACATTCCTACTTAGAGGGGATGGGTATATACACACCTAATGGGTGCGGTGCGCACCGTCTGGGGGATGGACATGCTTGAAGCTCCGACTTGGGGGCATGGGGCAAAGGCAATACATGTAACCTAAACATTCGTACTCATGTAATATGCTGAAATTTAAAAAATTTTTTTTTAAAAAATTCCTACTTGGTAACAGTTGTTTAGAGATGGATAATGACTGTCCCTTTAGACGAGGTGTAGACTTTCCAACTCACGATAGTCCCTACTGGCCTGCTTTGTTCAAAGCCTGGCCTTGTAAGCATCATGTTTAAGACTCCATTCTATCCCAAAGCGTTGCTTCAGGTATTTGGCTTGGAGGAAGAAGCTGGATTAATGTTTAGTCACCAGCTTATTTGGGGGGGGTACAGTGCTGTTGCTTAGGAAAAGTAGCAACCCAGTAAAAGAATTTATGGGAAAGAGTGTGCACAACTTTGGTCATCTTTTTGCAGTAAATGCTGTTGGCATATCAAACCTCCTGTCACAAATGTTCCCTCTGAAATAGTAACATGTCCTTCTGTCTTATGAGTTGCCACCCAGTGAAGGAATCCCTCCCACTCCCGAGGGATGTTCATCCAGCCTCCGCTTGACCACTTCCAGCAGTCAGGGAGCTTATTACCTCCTCGCATGGCAGCCAATTCCATTCTTGGACAGATACATTATTTTAAAATTCTTCCTTATGTTGAGGCAGCTGCTGCCTCCTTGGGACTGAAAGCCACAAAATACTGGAGCTGGGAAAACATACTGATTTTTTTCAGGCACATGAGCTACCACTCATCCACCCTGCATCCAGGGCAAATATTGATAATTAATCACAGCACTCTTTCTCACTGAGCCAGGAAGTAGAATCCTGCCTGAAATTTTTTTTTTTTTTTTTTTTTTTTTGAGACAAGTTCTCGCTCTGTCACCCAGGCTGGAGTGCAGAGCTCACTGCAGCCTTGAACACCTGGACTCAAGCAATCCTCCTGCCTCAGCCTCCCAAGTAGCTGGGACTACAGGTGTGCATCACCACGCCCAGCTAATTTTTTAAAAAACGTCTGTAGGGACGAGGTCTCACTATGTTGCCCAGGCTAGTCTTGAACTCCTGGGCTCAAGTGATCCTCCTGCCTCAGCCTCCCAAAATGCTGGGATTACAGGCATGAGCCACCCCCTATTTTTGTAATTTTTAAAGAAGAATTTAATTTTTAAAAAATTTCAGGTACCTTGTCTGTGCCAGGCAGTGTTCTAGGCACTGGCTGACTATATATTAATAGCTTGCATTTTGGTGGGAAGAGAGAAACAACATAGATAATATCTGAGGGTGCCAAATTATATAAAAGAAATGAAATAGTGTTAATATTATTGAGTAATCAGAGGAGAGACTCCATTGGATGGTCAGGAAGTGACATTGAGCCAAGACCTGAATGACAAGTAGGAGCCAGCCTCGAGGGGAAGAGGATTCCAGTGAACAAGAAAGAATTTGGTACTAGATGAGGTTAAAGAGGCCACAGGAGTCCTAGGGGGCCTTGTAGGCCAAGATAAGAAGTTTGGTTTCAGTTTAGATTTTATTTAAGTGCAATGGGAAGTTATTAAGACGATTTTAAGCCAGGAAGGTGACATCTGATTTCCCGTTTAAAAAGATTGCTAGGAGGCCTGTTTATCTTGGAGCAAGGTTTCGTTTTCCCTCATACCTTTCCCTGTTTCTTATATCCAAAGGGATCGACCCCCAGGCCAGTTTGCTGTGTTGAGGGGTCCCGCAGGGGAGCTGTGAGGCAAGTCAGCCATTGCGTGGTGCACACCGCAGCCCTCCTTAGCAGGCACACGGAAGATCAGGGAGATGTGGGTGGCTCCCTTAGACCTAGACTGATAGGGTTCAATGGGTCTTTGTATGGAGTTTTCAGTCCAGGGCACCTCAGTCCTTTGGCAGTCAGGAGGGGATGGAGCCAAATGTGGTTTGGGGATAGAGCCAAGGGCTCTTGGTTGCAAGAGAGACGGACGGAGGAAATGTTGAGTGGAAACCTGGAACTCGAGTCACTTAGAAAAAGGCTTCAGAGTGGTGTCTAGAAACCAGTCACCTGAAAAATGGGCCTGTTGTTTGCCTAGTTGAAACAACTCCTGTGTAATTCCTGCCTAAGAGGGAGCTTTGGATACTTTCTTGCTTGTGAGTTTTTGAGTTTTGATCTGTCCTCTTCCTCTCTTGGCATCCTCTTGACTCCCAGGAGCTGAGACAGGCTGGTGGTGTCTCTGGAAGCCAAGGAGACTTTCTAACCAGAGGGCTTAGGTCTGGAGCACCCTTCAGGGGAGTGAAGAGGGCTGGGAGAGACTCACCTCAGAGTAGAGATAGGTGGAATCGTAGGGATCAGAGCTGGGCCTTTTCCAGAGTGGAGGTGCTAGGTTGGAGAGATAAGATCCCCTCAGCCCATTGATCTTTGAAAAGGCCTCTGTCCATGCCTGTGCCTAAGGGCTGACAGGTACCCAGCCACTTATTGATCAGATAGCTCTCTGCATACATGAGATCTCCACCAGGGTCACTACCCCACCATCCATCCCCCACCTAGCATTGTGGATCTTAGCTTGAAGAAATTTAAAGAGCCCTTGGGGTCCTTTCAGCAGGTGAGCAGTGACTCCATCCAACACTCAGAGGAGGTGGCCAGAAACCAGCAAGGTTGAGGATGTCCCCAGTGTCACATGTCTGCTTAGTCATGTCACCTTGGACCAGATCTCCATTAATTCAGATCTTTTCCCATTTCTGAAAAATCTTTCCAACTTACTCTCTGCTTGAAATCCACTTCCTTTGGCACTATGACAGCCAGGTATGAGGGGCAGCATCTTCTCCTTAGTCTCTGGGATGGGTCTCTGAATCCCAATTAAGCCTTTTCTCTGGATCTGGAGACTGGGACGAAGGTTGATTTTGTATCTGGTGTTGGCTTCGTCTTTCTCTCAGGAGCTCAGCAGAACAAGTACCCTGAAAGAGGAAGGAATGAGGCCTTCATGCCCCTTCAGCTATAACCTGGCCAGCCTCAGCCCCTTCATTCTGTCTGACCCCTTTGCTTCCTTTTTCAGGAGACTGGAGAGGTGTGGCTGGACCAAGACCTCCCCCAATGTGAGCAGGCTTCCTCCTTCCCCCACCATCCGTCACCACACCTGGGGACATCTTCAAACCCTGGCCTTCAGGGGAGAGGTAACAGAAGCCCAGAGCCGGGACCATGTGACGGCGCTGGCCCTCGCCACCGCCGTCCCCCTCACCCTGGCCCCAGGCCCGGCACCATGATGTTCCGAGACCAGGTGGGCATCCTCGCTGGCTGGTTCAAGGGCTGGAATGAGTGTGAGCAAACAGTGGCCCTCCTGTCACTTCTGAAACGGGTCACCCGTACCCAGGCCCGCTTCCTACAGCTCTGCCTGGAGCACTCACTGGCAGACTGCAATGACATCCACCTGCTGGAATCAGAGGCCAACAGTGCCGGTAAGTCTCCACCCCTACATATGGGAGCGCAGCAGGAGGGAAAACCGGAACAGACGTCAGGTGGCTGAGGAGGGTAAACCGACAGTGGTGCTAAGAAATGTAGGTTCTAGGCTCGTTGTTGGGTGGGGAGTCCCTGACCTTCCAAGTCATCATCTTGGGTCTCCTGGGGCTGTGTTGCTGGATATCCTCAGGCACAGAATGGGGGACTCCTTGGAGAGGGCATTGTAAACTGCGAACTATCCACCACAGAGGAAGGATCATGTAGGGCGGCTTATGTGGGTGGCTGAAAGGAACAGAGGAAAGTCAGTACCAATGAAAGGGGGTGAAGGTAAGCAGTAAGTCATGTCTCAAGCTCTAGGATAGCAGAGCTAGGAGGGAATTTTAGAACTCTTCCAAAACCCACAAGTAATCCTATACTATTTTTCACTCCCAAAGGTAGGGTGGACTTAAGGCATAAGCAACTTCAAGAGAGTTTTGAATTTAGATATAGTTCTTCACATCAGTTCCCTAAGCACTCAGTAGAGAGGCACTTTGTGTCCCTTGAGCTTGGCACTGGGATGGGTGAGCCAGGCTTCTGTAGAACCTGTTCCTAGGGCCCCAATTGTACACAGTCAAATGAGAGAATCATCTCAAGGATGAGATGACCACTGCTGAAGCCATTCTGGGGTTAGGTGGAGAGCTGTTGACTCTAGTGATGGGTGGGAGAGGTGGAAACCAGACAAGAGGGAGAGTAGTGGGTACCCAAAAGCTACCTGGGAGGAAGACCCTTGTAGAATTTGTCCAAATTAGTCACCCTAACTCTTCCCACCACTTTCTCCATAATAATAGTTGACATTGAGCCCTTACAACAAATAATGTACTGTTTTTACTTGTATATTAGCTTGAAAAGCAGTGTTATTGGGCGGCTCTCCAGTCAGCCTATCTAGGTTTAAATTCCAGTTCTGTTACTTGACATGTAACCAAGGGATTTAACCTCTCTGTGCCTCGGTTCCCTCATCTTAAGATCAAGATGATAATTATCTACCTTCTAGGGTAATTACGAAGATTCATTGAGTTAACACATGTGTAGCACTTAGAACGTGGCCTAGCATGAACTGTCAATTGTTGTATTTATTGTCAGTAACTCGTTTAGTCCTCACAACAACCCCATGAGATAGGTACTATTATTAGCCCCATTTTACAGGTGAGGAAACAAACATGGGCTGCTAGGGTTGAGATTTGGGGAACCATAGAACTGCCTGGCCTCCCTCATCTCCCCAGGCCTACTTACCTTAGCAACAGTTGCTTTTATTTTACAGAGTTTTTATGTACAAGTGACAGAGGGGAAAGACAAGTTACTCAGGCCAGGAGTCACACCAGCTTAATTCCCTGTCTGGCAGTCAAAGAGCAGTAAGAAGCCAGCTCAGCTGCAGCAGGGTCAGAGCTCAGCCGTTTCTCACCCCTGCCACCCTCCCCACTGCTCTGTCACCAGGGCTGGGCGTTCTGTTTGCGGTACGGCTCTGCCTCCAGAGTGGGGGCTCCTTTGGGTCGGGTCAGTGTCTCATGCAGCTTTATCACACATCCCCATTACCCCATCCTGAGCAGGCAGTTGCATGACTGCTGGGTGCCAATCTTGGCTGTATATCAGAGTCCCCGGTAGTGCTTATTGCTATTTACTTGAGTATTTTTAGTTTTTGCCTTGGTTTTCAGAACTTGTGCGAAAATCAAACCATACAGAAGGGTGAAAAACGAGGTCTCCCTTCCAGACTCCATGTTCCCGTTTTCTTGTTTATTTTTTATGTGATAAATTCCATGTATATATAAGTGCATACATATTCTCCTTCCAACTTTGTCATTGTTTTAATTGTTTTAATACATATGGCCAAACATCACACGTATTAACCAGTTTGTTTCTTTCATTTATCAGTATAATTTGAAGATTGTTCCATATTCAGCACGTGTATATACCTCACTGTGGCGAATGCCTGCATAACAACGAGAATAGGTCGCATTTATAGAGCCCTACCTGTAGCAGTGCTTTACCTGTATTGCTCATTTAACTCTCACAGCAACCCTATAGGTTAGGTCCTATGATTCTTCCATTTTACAGATGAGGACACTGAGGTCTGGAGATACTAAGTGACTTGCCCTGGGTCCCACAGTTGGTCAGAGGTAGAGCTTAAATTTGACTTTAGAGCTCTCGACCAGTAGGCTCTACCAGGTGGTGTGTGTGGTCTGGCCCTCACAAACAGTGCTGTAATGAGTACCCTTTAAGCATCTCCAGGATAAATTTCTAGGATTCTGTGGTACTGCTAGTTTGGAGGTATGTGCATTTAAAATATTTCTTCTCACCACATTGCCCTTGAAAATCATGCTACACTTTGCACAAAAAAAATCCTGAGGCACAGCTCAGATGATTTGCACTGGGATATTGGGGGTAGGGCCTAGCCAGGCTCGAGAACTACCACAGAACGAATTGAATGATGAATGAATATATGAACCAAGGTCTTTATCCACAGCCCCCATGTCAGATGGTGAGAATATAACAGGCTGGTACTCACATGGGCGTAGAGTTAAGGAAAACTTAGAATGAGGAAGAGAGGGAGGGCCATGGTGTGTTCAGGAGTCAGTAGGAAGCCTGCCAGAGTGTGACTTGAAAGGGAAGAGATCATAGAGGTACATTCTGTAGGGCCTTGAATGCCTCTTTCCTGGTAGACCTGAGGGCTCCAGGATTAAAGAAGCTGGTGTCTCCTCTCTCACTCCCACCCTCAAGTAGAACCACCCCCATCCCCAACCCGTCTTATTTGTAAAAGAAAGAAGGCCCTGCTTCCTGGGCCTGGGGACCTGCCTCGTGGGAGGAGCTGTTCCTCCTCTGACCATTTCTCCTCCTCTATTCATTATGGCCTTCCCATTCCCTTGTGATTCTCAAACTTGTGTCATCGTCAGAATCACAGGGGAGGAAGGGTGACTGTTAAAATCCAGACTCTTCTGCCCTCCACCCCAGACTCATTAAATGAAAATCCTGAGGGGGTGGGCCTGGGAACAAGTACCCAGGTTCTTCTGATGACCAGGCAGCGTGAGAGATGACGCCCTGCTGGATGATTCATTTGCCATGGGGCGCATGAGACTAGGAATCAGGATGCTTAGTTCCAGATCCAGCTCTGCCACTAACACCTCTTGTGACCTGGGTCAACTCTCTCCCTGTTAGGCCTGAGGATGCCCATGTGGACAGTGAAGGGGTTGTTCTAGATACTTTCCAGGTATGTCTTCGGCCTCTGAAATAACATGCCAAAGAAGGCAGAGCCACAGGCAAGCATACTACTTTCTGTTTTGGGGGTATAGCGCATTCTTTTAGAGCAACAGTTCTTAATATTAAATGGGATGACTACTCAGAAAATCTGCCCTTCCCCACCCCTGCAAAAAATGATGCACATTTGGCCAGGCGCAGTGGCTCACGCCTGTAATCCTAGCACTCTGGGAGGCCGAAGCGGGCGGATCGTTCTGAGCTCAGGAGTTCGAGACCAGCCTGAGCAAGAGCGAGACCCCGTCTCTACCAAAAATAGAAAGAAATTAATTGGACAGCTAAAAATATATATAGAAAAAATTAGCCGGGCATGGTGGCACATGCCTGTAGTCCCAGCTACTCGGGAGGCTGAGGCAGTAGGATCGCTTGAGCCCAGGAGTTTGAGGTTGCTGTGAGCTAGGCTGACGCCACGGCACTCGCCCCAGGGCAACAGAGTGAGACTCTGTCTCAAAAAAAAAATGATGCACATTTATCCCACAGACCAAATTTTGAGTTGATTTGGTCTACCAGTCCCCGGTTAAGAGCTGCCTGTTACCAGTCTGAAGTCCTTCTTCAGCTTTTCAGATTCCTTCAAACCAGGAGGACTGAACAGTGAAACAGATCCACTGCTTTTTTCTGGATTTTCTCTCCATGTCCTACCCAACCAACCCGGCTACTTCCTCTAGTTCTCCAAGGAGACCCTGGGTTTGAGTTTAGATCAGAGCTGCCCGCCTGCCTATCTCCTCAGGTAGGGCAGGGAGCAGAGAGGAATTGACCCAGGTGAGTGGCTCCAATCCTAGCTTCATGTCACAGTCCCCTGGGGACTTTGTAAAAATATTGTTAGGCCTAGGTCCTACCCCAGAGATTTAAAGCTCCCTAGTTGACTCTCGTGTACACCTAATGGAGAGCCAGATGTCTTGATGCTGATGGTGATTCTGGGTGGGCCCAGGAAGGTGGTGAGGGTACTGTCGTGTGACCTACTAGAAGTAGGGGGTGGAGGCTTATAGCTGTGGAAGGGGGCACTGGCCCGGGCTATCCTTTCCTCTCAAGCAGCTGGGAAGGCGTAGGAAGGTCCTGCAGCCCACGTAGCCTGCATCGACTTCATGGAAGCAGAACCTGAGGCAACACCTAGGAACAGAAAAGCAGTACTTTGAGGGTCTCTGGAGCAGGGAAGAAGAGGCCCAAGGCTTCCCCTTGTTGTGATTCTTGCTCCTTCTCCCGGTGCTGTCTTCTTTGCCTGTTGGAGCTGTAACAGTAATCCCGGCCCTTTCCTTCCTGGTGCTGACTTGGACCACTAGAGTGTTCCCATGGACAGGAGGGAGGAGACTAGGGCCAAGGGAGCTGAATTCCACTTCTCTCCCTGGTCCTGTAGCTTCCTGGGATGCATTTCCTGCATTTTCTTCCCACCTCCTGTCCTCTGAGTCAGTCCCTGTATCCAGCAGGTTTTAAGCTCCTCCCTCTCTGGCTCACTGAGCCTGGGTGGGGAAACTGAGGTCAGGAGAGGGCCATAGCAAGTGAGTCACCAGAGCTTAGCCTTGATGCCTCCACCCTCCTCTTGCAAGCTGTACCGAAAGTTCATCAAACAAAAATGTGGGCCCCCTGGCCCTCCCCCACGTCTGTGTGAGCTAGGGTGAGGCAGAGAAGGGCACATTTGGAGCCAAACTCCAGCCCCTCTGGTGCCTGAGGCTGCCACGATTGTTTCACCAGCCCAGCACATAAAAATGGGGTTGTCCTTACGGCAGTCTCAAAGATATATTTGGCTTCTATGATTTGCCAGGACCCAGGGTCATGACCTATTTAGCTCTGGTCACCTGGCCAGCCCTGTCCCAGTTGCCACTGTAGCCAAAGAGGGCACTTGTACACATAGTCTCCCTGGTCTTCTCCATGTCTGTGGAGTCCAGGTTTGCAGCTTGGCAGGAAGCAGCCATTGGCATCCTGGCATTCCCCAGTCCCCTCCCCTGTCCACCCACCTTTAGAATTTCATCATTACTTGTTGTGTATCTAGCTCTGAAGAACCAGAGATGTGTCTGCTTTTGGTAAATAACTGTGTGAAATTCCCCACCCCTGTCGGGAATCTTAAGGGGGAGGCCCAGATGTGCTCTTCTCCATGAACTGCCCTCCACCTCGCCCTGAAACAGCATGGGCTCTAGATCTTCAACCAGGAGCAAGGAAAATAATGGTTAAAATGTGCTGAGCACTCATCACATGCTAGGTGCTTTGCATGGTTGCCTCCTTGACTCTTTACAGCAACCCTGGAAGGTAGGGGCTTCTACAACCCCCTTTGCACAGAAGAGGAGACCAAGGTTCAGAGAGGTTAAAGAACTGGCCCACAATTATATTGACCTAGGTTGTGGAGGAAGAGCTGGATTTTGAACCCAAACAAGTTTTGTTTTGTTGTTGTTGTTGTTGTTGTTGTTGTTTTTGAGAGAGTCTCACTCTGTGGCCCGGGCTAGAGTGCCGTGGCGTCAGCCTAGCTGACAGCAACCTGAAACTACTGGGCTCACATGATCCTCCCGTCTCAGCCTCCCAAGTAGCTGGGACTATAGGTGCATGCCACGATGTCTGGCTAATTTTTTCTATTTTTAGTAGAGACAGCATCTCTCTCTTGCTCAGGCTGGTCTTGAACTCCTGAGCTCAAGCAATCCTCTGCCTTGGCCTCCCAGAGTGCTAGGGTTACAGGCGTGAGCCACCGCACCCAGCCTGAACCCAGACAAGTTTGCCTATTGAGTTTGTGCTCTTACTTAGTATATTCTGCTAGGACCTGAGACAGGGTGACCTGAGCTTGGGGGATCCTAGGGAAGCACATTATATACACATAGACACTACCACCTTCCAGGGGACCATCTGGGTTCAATTGTGCAGGTATTCCTTGGGCCCCTGCTGTGCCTCAACTCTGGGCCAGACTTTTTGGATCTGGGCAGGAAACTAGAAGTTCCATCCCCACCCATCATCTGCAGCCCCAGCTGGGCTCACCCAAGGGGCCTGAGGCTGCACAGATTCCTTGGACCAGTTCCAGTACTCACTGATGCTTCCCAGTCATGGGAGGCCTGCCCTCCCCACCACCACCACCGCACGGACACATGAACACACAGTTCCCCAGGGCCAGCCTCCATTCGTCCAAAACCACTCTCTCCTTTCTCAGCAGTAGAACAAGGTCCTTCATTGAGCCCAACCCTTGGGGCTGTTCTGTCACGTCCCCTGGCAGTACCAGAGGAGAAGCTGTATTCCTTAGCCCTGGGGTCCTGGCAGTACTCTGGGGTGGGGGAGGGACTAGACAAGGCTTCTCTCTGTCCCAGATGCCTCTGGCTACCCTGCAAGGCCTAAACAACAGCAATTGAGAATGTCGGGGTAGGGCTGAAGGGGCAGACTGACTCTATTGGAGAAGGGAGAAAAACACCCATCACCGAGCCGCATTCCGAGTGCTGTGGGCAGACTCTGTCAGGTGCTTTACGTGCACCATCTCCCTAGATCTTCTCAGCAGCCCTATGATCCTGTTTTACAGAGGAGGAAGCATATTGCCCAGGCGACTGCATGACACAGCTGCAATGCAAGTCCTTTACTCCTTTACTCTCTGTCCCTAATATTAATCACTATGTTTCTTCTTCCTTCTCATCAAGAACTAAAATCTCAGGGGTAAGTTAGCAAAAGGGGCTGCCAGAGGGTTCCTTACCATTTGGTCCAGTGTCAGGTGCATGGGAGAGGGCAGGAAGGGAAAAGATTCTCTAACGTCAGGAAGACCTGTTCCATCTTGGACTGATCTTTCGATGTGGAGATGGCCCGAGGGAGAGCACATGGTTATGGGGAGCAAACCGAGGGGATGATGAGGTTTCTTAGCTTTGAGTGACAGATCCTGAAGGGGATCTGGAAAGCCAGGGAAGAAGAGAGACTTGGCATTGGAGAGAGAGAAGCTTGTGGGTCAAAGTTCCTCCCAATTCTGGAGTCAGACAGACTTGGATTCAGGTCTCAGTTCTGTCACTTACAAGCTCTGTCACTTGGGGGAAGTCACTTCACCTTCCCAAATCTGTTTCCTAATCTGCAAAATGGGAATGCTAAAACAGAGTTGCGAAAGGTGTGAAAAACAGTCCTGTACTTAACATGGCATCTGACACATAGTAAATGCTTGACAAGTGCTATCCATTATTGCTATCGTTGTTAGTAGTAGTAGTAGCAGTCGTAGTAGTACTACTACGTACTACTACGTCGTACTACTACAACTGCTACTACTGTTGGTTTTATGGTTAATTTTGGCCAGTGCTGTGGCCATAGCACGAATTGATGTCTTTCAGTGGGTGAATTCCTGGGCACTTTAACAGGGGTTCTCTAGGAAGCTTAGAGCAGAGAGCCCCAGGCCAAGAAAATGCAGTTTGCATAACCAGGAGTGGGAGCTGCGTGCGATTCATTTTCCTAGGGCTACAAATTTAAGCAGAATTAGAAGTGTGTGTGAATCCCAGGCCACAGATTTCCAAGCAGGTGATTAAGAGAAGGAGGGGAACAGAAGGGGCATTTCTCAAGCTTTTATGCAAGTGGCTGGCCTGCAGTGTGGGCAGAGGAGACCAGTGGTCTTTGAATCTTAAGGCCTAAGGAACTTGGGTTGAAAGACCCTCAGATGCCTGGATTTCTGAGACTTTCCTCATATGTGCCTATTCCCAGCCTCTCTGTTTCCTGGGCTGGGAGGGTGGCTTGTGCCTTTACAATCTGTCTGTATATTTGAAAGGAAGAAGCCATAGTAAGATAAAATAACCATGATGCTAGTAAAAGCAACTAATATTTACTAAGGACTTTATGCTGTGGTCTTACTGAATTCATAGAGCCATGCCAGGTAGGAATGATTCTGAGCTTCACTTTACAGGTAGAGAAAGTAGAGCTCAGAGAACTGATCACATTTGCCCAGAGTCATGTGGCCAGTACATGGTGGACAGGGACATATGCCATATCTCTGCCTGTTCTTTTTTTATCACCTGCCCCTCTGGGGTCTTAGCCCTGTCTGGTTAGAGCCTTTACCCCTTTCTAGGACCTCACATGAACACGTTTCTCAGAACTCCTTGTCATGATGTATTTGTGAATCATCACCTTGGCTGTAGGTATGAGCTCAGTTGCTGAAGAGTGAGAACACAGTTGGCCTTGGCCCTTAATTGTTGTCTCTTTTCTCAAGTATTGGTGTTCTTTGTCCCTGTCCTTTGCCCTGTCAACATCATCTCCTTCCTCCACATTCTGTTTAGCTCAGCACAGAAGTGCTAACAAGGTTTTTGAGGGAGGGGATAGTCAGATCTGTAGCAGTTCTTCCCAAGGCCTCCTTTATGTGGCCAGCTAGGGGCTGTATTCTTAGGGAGCTCCCTTCTAGGTCGAGGGAAAACCTGGTTTATCTCCACAGGACAGACTCAGGCTCTTAGATGGAAGGGTAGAAAGCAGAGGTCAGGATTACCATGGCATGGAACATCCAGTGGGGAGACTTCCCGGAGGAGGGCAGTAAGTTCGGGCAGTCTTTTATAAAAGATAGAATTTGTAGAACAGGAAAGAGGTGTTGCAGGATAAAGCCTTGAATCTCAGCCTGAGTGTGGAAGCTTGAATAAATACAGTGTGGAGAGAACCCCAGGGAAGATGGAGGCATCCTGAGCTGAGTCTTTATCTGGAGGAACAGGAGATGGGAAGTACCCTGGAAACGGAAGTGATATTGGGCTAGGAGTTCTTGGACTTTAGTCTGTTGGTGCTGGTTGCCACTGTAAACTCCTGGTCAGGAATGTGATATCCTGATGTGATTCAGGAAGATAAATCCATCTGAATGTATGGGATGGAGTGGAGGAAGAGAATCTAGAAGCAGAGAGACCAGTTAAAAAACAACAGCAGGCATTTGTTAAGTATGTCCGAAGTACCAAAACACCTGCCATTCTTTATTAGCTCATTGAATCTCAAACCAACACTGAGAATGGGGTACTGTAATTATCTCCAGAATTATTTAAAGATAAAGAAGTCAGTGCTTGCTGAGGTCCAAGGTGACTTACCAGGGTCCAGCTAGTAAGTTGGGGAGTCCAGACCTCTGATTCCAGAGCCCAAGGTTTTCTGTATTTCTATATTTTGCCGCCTTCCCCAATCAGGAAGGAGGCTGTTTTGGTAGAGAAAAGGGTGTAGAGACCATGAAGATAAAGGGATTAGGGGCTGGGGGGAGATACAGCAGAAAGAATAGGCCTGGGAGCAGCAGGAAGAGCTCAGATTCCAGAGTATAGCAAGTTTGACTGATTGGAAGCCACACGTTTTTGAGAACAGGAGCGACAGAACCAGGAAAAGTTACTCGGGAAGCAGGGTGATTGTGTTTGATCTCACCTGTATGAGGGACAAGGACTTGGGGGTCATGAACCAAGAAGGGAGAGGAGAGCGGAGCTGAAGGAATAGTCCATAGACAGCTCTCTTGGGTTTATGGGAGTCTCCCACCCTGGCTCTCCTGACATTGTCTCTTTTCCCCTCTAGCCATTGTCAGCCAGTGGCAGCAGGAGTCCAAAGAGAAGGTGGTGTCCCTCCTGCTTTCTCACCTACCCCTGCTTCAGCCAGGCAACACGGAGGCCAAGTCGGAGTACATGAGGCTACTGCAGAAAGTGCTGGCCTACTCGATCGAGAGCAATGCCTTCATCGAGGAGAGCCGCCAGCTGCTCTCATATGCCCTCATCCACCCGGCCACCACCCTGGAGGACCGTAACGCGCTGGCCCTCTGGCTGAGCCACCTGGAAGAGCGGCTGGCTAGCGGCTTCCGCACCCGGCCAGAGCCCTCCTACCACTCACGCCAGGGCTCAGATGAGTGGGGGGGCTCTGCAGAGCTGGGCCCTGGGGAGGCAGGGCCAGGCTGGCAGGACAAGCCACCCCGGGAAAATGGACATGTGCCCTTCCACCCATCCAGCTCAGTGCCGCCAGCCATCAACAGTATTGGGAGCAACGCAAACACAGGTGAGGGGGGTGTCCTAGGAGGCCACGTCTACTTGAAAATAGTCAGACTGGGCTCAGTGAGAGCTCGCTCACTCTGTGGCATTAGGCAAGTCACATAACCTCTCTGGGCCTAAGCTTTATGAGGCAATGCAAAGGTTGCGAACTGGCTTTCCCAGAGCCACATCTGACCTATAGACATGTCTTACTAAGCCCACGCTTTGGTTTTGCTTTTTTATATGTGTTTTTAAATAAGTTTGATGCTATAAGGATTCAGGAATTTTCCCCTGAAAATCAGATTTCCAGCTTCTCTTGAAAAGTCAAAATAATCTAGCAACTCAAGGCCTCTATTCCCAGTGACAACAATAGTATGGAGCTGAATATAGGCCATGCTCTTTAAACCTGCACATTTGCCCCGTTCTACTCCACAGCCCCACTTTGGGCATTTCCGATACCTCACTGGCCTCTAGGGGCATTATCCTTATGACCACCTAATGGAGGGATCATTACCGTCATCTGAGGTCCTTCCAGCCCAGCCATTCTGAATTTTTTTATCTGGCCTCAGCTCACAGCCTTGTTTCTGAAAAGTGTGTTTGTCGATCCATATAAGACATAACTTACACTGCAAGGCATTAGTAATAGTAGGTAACACTTTTGAGCATTGACCATGCTAGGTATTTTTTTATAAGCACTTTTCAGATCTCATTTAATCCTCATCACAACCCTATCATTAGCTCTATTTAACAGATGAGGACACTGGGACTCAAAGAGGTGAAGT